CACAAAATGTATAAATTTCTTCCTCTATTTGCAACCAATTTGTTCTGTTATCTATATATGAGCTGTGGTGGCACAGTGGTTAGAGTGCAGTACTGCAGGCTACTTCTGCTGACTGCTGGTTATCTGCAATTTGGCAGTTCAAATCTCACCAGGCTCAAGGTCGACTCAGCCTGCCATCCTTTGGAAGCGGGTAAAATGAGGACCCAAATTGTTGGGGGCAATATGCTGCTCTGTAAAACTTCTTAAAGAGGGCTGTAAAGCGGAATATGTTTAAGCGCTATTGCTACTATATATAAAGGCAAAGTAGTTAATGGGTGAAACAAAAAGCAAAGTTCTCTATTAACAATGTATTATTGTATTTAATCTATAATTGCCTACAATGCTTTCTTATCTGGCACAAATCATCGCAATCATTATGTATCATCTGTCTTGGATCAAATAACCCCATTTGATTCTTAATAATAAAATTTCTGCTTAAGATTTTGGTTGAAAACTTTCCCAACAATTGTGTCTTATTCCCCAAAATCATAAACCTTTCTTGTTGATCCATTTCCCCCGAAAAATCCAGCCCAAATTGTTTTCCAGATACGGTATTAAGTCCATTCCCCAATCACCATCAATCTTCTTAAGAAAATTGAGTTCATCACTAATTGATACTATTAAATCCAAATCTGTAGAATCTGTATCCCCTTCAACCTTCTTCAATGAACCTGAAGTTTCCATACCATGATCCTTCTCCTTTAAACAGCAATTTAGATTTCAATCCATCCAGTGCTGAGTTTGGTTTGGCTTGCGTCTGAACATCTTCTTTAAGTTGATTCAAAACCCTTGTTATTTCATCTAACTTTTTACCAAAGTTTTCAATTTGAACTTGTAAGTTAAAAAGCATTCTTTCTTTTCAAAGTCTGCCCAGAGGGCTTTATCTATAACTTGGTACATTTCAATATAGCCCTGTAACTGGGCATTCATAACACATAAATAGTTCCTTGTGACAAAGTAGAGAGTACATACATAGAGAGTACAATACATAGAGAGTATTGAGATGATATTTATCATGATTAAAGGATGGAAATAATTTCCATGGAACATGAAAAATTAAGACCAGAGTTTTTTAAAAGTTAAGAAAATGTGAAATCCCTGTATGAAAATCCAATGCAAATGAAAATGCAAACAGGTTACTTCCATTACCAGGAAATCTCTGTTGACCTCCATACGGAAAAAGTGGAAGTAATTCAGAATTGCTGAGTGAAACAGTGAAAAAACATTAAAGAATTCACATTAAAATCCAGCAAGGGGTTAAAGTAAATTAACCTTCAACCAGACAATTTTAAGAGAAAAATCAAGATTAAAAAAAGTAAATTCAAACAGTGCAGCTAAAACCCAAGCGTACTTTAAAAAAAAAAAACAGCTGAGAGGAAAGACAGAGACACAAGTCTCTGACCATCCCTATTGGGAATTACAATCCGTAAAATTCCTCGTTTCAGGAGGGTCCAGAGTCATCTGAGGGTTGTTCCTAAAGCAGCTCCCATTCAGATCTATAGGCCAAAGAGCCTGCCAAAGAGCCACAATGGGGCAGTGGTTAAAGTGCAGTACTGCAGGCTACTTCTGCTGCCTGCTGGCTGCCTGAAATTTGGAAGTTCAAATCTCACCAGACTCAATGTTGACTCAGAAGGTGGGTAAAATGAGGACCCAGATTGTTGGGGGAAATATACTGACTCTGTAAACTGCTTAGAGAGGACTGTAAAGGGATATATAAGCCTAAGTGCTATTGCTATTGGGCAGCAAAATAAGCTGTTTTTTAATAGGCGAAACAAAACCGCCTGTTGCTCGGCATGGTATCTTGGGGAAATATGCCCCTAACAGTTTTCCATAAAATTTGGAGAGTACTCCTTCATTTCAATATAGAACCATGTTTTGGACTGGTACTATATAGATAAATGACATTAAAAAAACCTTAAAACAAAATAGCATAACTGGCATGATGCCTGGTGAGATAAGTGCATGCAGTGCTGATTTATTTGCATGTAAATATATGCAAATGTAAAACTCATTGCTCAATTAAAATCTCTTTAATCAGGTCATAGATCTATTTAAAACTAATAAACACAGTGTATATTTATTTGTTCAAGACCAATAGCAATAACACTTAGACTTATATACTGCTTCACAGTGCTCTAAGTGGTTTACAGAGTCAGCCTATTGCCCCTAACAATCTGGGTCCTCATTTTATTGACTTTGGAAGGATGGAAGGCGGAGTCAACCTTGGGCCTGTTGAGATTTGAACTGCCAAATTGCAGGCAGCCAGCAGGCAGCAGAAGTAGCCTGCAGTACTGCATTTTAACCACTGTGCCACCACAGCTCATGATGGTTTCATTTCTGCCTTTAAATACTGTTAACTTTTAAAAATTAAACATATAAGTATAATAAGAATTGACAAATGCTTACTAGTCAATAAAAGAATTATAAAAAATGCATTAAAAATTATGTGGCTCAAATTAGAATCAATAACTTCTAAAACCAAAATTCTCATTCAGTGGATAATCTTCCATTTGAATGCAAAGAACAGAGAAACATTTGAAATTTGTAAAGCAATGTATAACCTTACAGCAGACTATCATAGCAATAGCACTTAGACTTATACCACTCCATAGTGCTTTACAGTAGTGGTCGCCAACTGGTGGCCCATGAAAAAATTTTGGTGGTCCGCAGAGAAATGTCACCCCCAGAACACCCCCCCAAAGCAATTAATCCAGGCTGCACAGGAACACAAGGCTGCGCCACCCACATCACCCGCGAGAACCCTCCCCACCCACTTACTCCTTACCTGGCAAACTTGCCTACTAAGTTGCTATTTTTCCTCCCCCACCCCAACCATCAGCTATTCTGATGTGCTGGGAGATTTAGATTAGCTAGAAAGCAGGAAACCATTGGATGTCTTTGCTTTCTAGCTAATCTTTAGATCTTCAGCTCTGCTTTTAAGCAGAGCCGAACCTTCCTTAGGACTGAAGCTTCTATTATTCAGTGCAGACTCAGGTAGCCGATGGTAGAAAGATAGATCTTTGAATGAATCTGTGATTCTATGAGCTACTCAATCTGCCTGCCTGCTTTGCCTGATTTTGGGTAAAAGTTGCTCTTTTTTTATAAAAAAAATTCAATATTTACATACAAGGTGTGTAGTGAGTTAATTTTGTGAGTTTGCTTGCAAGCAAATTTTATATGACAGACTCAGGTAGCCAATGGCAGAAAGATAGATCTCTGAGTGAATCTGTGATTCTGTGAGCAACTCAATTTGCCTGCCTGCTTTGCCTGATATTGGGTAAAAGTTGATCTTTTTATTAAAAAAATCAATATTTACATAAATATTTATAATATTTACATACAAGCCAGTTACATGACCATAAAGCCACACCCACAAATTAGGCCACACCCACAGAACCGGTTAAGAAATTTGAATCCCACCCTTGCCTCTGTGTGTTTTTGTGTGTGTGTGTGTGTGTGTGTGTGTGTGTGTGTGTGAGAGAGAGAGAGAGAGAGAGAGAGAGAGAGAAAGAGAGAGAAAGAGGGAGGGAGGGAGGGAGGGAGGGAGATAGAGAGGTTAGATCAGATCTCTCTCTCTCTCTCTCCCGCCAACGTCAGCAAGCCACAGTCAGTCAAAATTCATATTAGTAGTCCCCAGGATTTAAAATTAGGAGTTTGGTGGTCCCTGAGGTCCAAAAGGTTGGCGACCCCCGCTTTACAGCCCTGTCTGAGCGGATTACAAATGTTAGCATTTGGCTGTGGGCAATGTTAGCCTGTAATACTGCATTCTAACTACTGCGCCACCATGGCTCCTACTTATCATACACTGCTTATATGCCTCTATGTCTGATGAAACTAGCAATTTACCCATGGAATAGAAACAATGGCATTAAATTATGCTAATTTCAAATTCATAAAATACCAATGTGGTATATTTTTTCCAAAAACTGAGTACATACAAATGAATCTGCCTAAGTTTTATTTATTTTATTTTATTAAATTTATCCAGCTGACTTACATGACTTTAGGTAACAGATAATAAACAATTAAAACAATTATTAAATAACAATTTACATAGAAAAATAAGATTACAAGCATGCAAAATCACCATCCCCCCCAGGCCACAGAAAAATAACTCTCCATGAAACTGGTCGCTGGTGCCCAAAATCTTTGGGGTGGGGTTGGGGGAGGGGGTGCTGCCTTAATATATAATGCACATGGTTATAACTGTAAAACCTTGAGGAGTAGGAATGTTATCATCTTATTCTAATTCCGTTGAAATCATAAAGGAAGTGTACAATATCTGTGCATTGCAGTTATTGCCCTTTTTCCTGCCAATAATAGAGGAGTTGATACTGCATCTTTATTCTCAAGTTGGTCAGTTAGCAGATCAAGGAGACAATCATAATGACAGAACAAAAACAGCTTTTATGTTATTATTGCTGTTCCCAGGGCAAGCCAGCAGTAGCATGTGAAGTAATCATCTGACCATTAACAAACAAATACTTCCTGATACATTAGCACAACCAAATAGCACCACCAATACTTCAATAACTCTTATGCTTCTGTTGCCAAAATGTTAATCAGGCTTCAGATATCTTTATCAAATGTCTTTTAAAACATACTGAAGATTTAAAACAAAAATTAGCCCTATTTAATACAAGTTTAAATGCCTTATTTTCTTAATGGTTGCATTTACAATTATAGCTCATTTCTTCCTTTAATTTTATATTTAAAAGATTGTTATATTAAAAAGACAAGTTGTCTTTTTAAATTGTATAATACATCTATAAGCATCTTTTTTTCACATGTATAATTATTTCAGAAACTTGATTTACATGAAATATTTTCTATGATCAGTTTAAAAATTACCACTTTGTCCAATGTGAGATTAAACCAATTTGTTTTGTTTCAACCATTATTGAGAAGTACATTAAATATATCAGTGAGGAAGGCTAATCATGCTTTAAGAAAACACTTACTGTGATAACAGCTTTACTCAGACAGATTGAGCCTCTGCAGCCATATTCCGTTTCATCTTCAGATTTGTAGTAACTTAGAGTGTTGTTTTTCAATACCACCCAGCGGTCCTGCCACCCATGGATGTAGTTGGTCCACTAAAAAGAATAAATATGTATTTTTGAATTAAGCAAAATAATAAGCATATTTTTATGTGGTACTATACTCAGATAATAATTTTCTTATATATTTTATTAAATTTTATTTTAATAAAATGAATCCTATTTATTCGAATGAAATGTAACTGCAAACATTCAATGTATTAAAAATAACAGCTAGAAATAATCGTGAAATATTCTTGAACCTTAGAGAAAACTGAAAATCTTGTAAAAACTCTATATAAACCAGATTCTGAAAGGCTTATTTCCAAGAGATAATTAAAAATCACCAACACTACTAAAAAGCATCACAGCAATAACAACCCAGGTCTGCTGAATTTGACAGTGAACTCCAGATAATTATATCACTACAATAGTGATATTATTACCTCATATACTGCATATTTCCATAAACTGGTGGGGGATCATGACATTTCTAATCCAACATTTATATTAGAGCACAGGTGTCAAACTCGCCGCGTCATGTTGCAGTCACATGACGTATTCTGATGTTTTTCCCTTTGCGGAGCTGGGGTTGGCGTGGCCTGTGCGTGATGCATGCGGCTTGCATGTCGTCAGTTTGACACCTCTGTATTAAGAGTATCAGATTACAGAAGAATATTTAGTCCATTCCTCTGTGCTTTTTAAATTTCACATTCTTGTCTAAATATTAGAACAAAAACTATACTATTAGTACTTCTAGTGCAACTATTGTTACCAATAACAATATTAAAATAAATTTGTACATTACTATAAATGGAATATTTTCAGTTTCCAGGAAGTGACTTCACAGGAATTTTGCAACTGAGTTTAGCAAGCAAATTTCTAATAAATATGCACTCTGTGAAGAATGTGTTCTTAGCTAAATTAAGAGCCTGTGAAAAGAAGAAAAAAGAAAAGCCTTTCTAATAGTGGTGACTTAAGAACAAACTTAAAGGTGAATATACATTACCTCAGAAGTTATGACTTGCAATGTTTGTGGCATGCTTGTGTTCTTGCCTAAAATTAATTATCTATTAAGTGCAAACTTGTAACAGTTTAAAAATGTAAAAGTTATGGACAACTGGCTTTAGTTCATAAATGGCATACATTATGTCAGGTTTGGCAATACGTTTCTATTCTTTAGATACTTAACCCAATACTCATGTGACTTGTTCACATTTTCAACATAGCTAAATAAGTCAGTTTATTGCAGACAAAAGTCTTGCATAAAGTGAAGACTGCATCCAATCCTAAATATATGTCTGCTCTAGGATTTAAAACATCGTTTTTTCCTCTTGCTTTTTTCCACAGAAATTGAAATTCCAATGGAAGTGTGGTCACTCACTTTCCAGCCTTGAGATTAGGGCCCACCTGTGCAACATTTTTATACTCCAATGGTTCTATCCTATCTATGAACCATTCACTCCTGTTTTGTCAGTTTCAGCCTTAACAAGTAAAGAGAACAAAAATGCATTAGATCAAACAAAGGAAATGTAACCACAGAAGCTATTCTCAGTAAAGAAAATTAAACAATCTAGTGAAGGAAAACTGGAATCAGAAACACAAAGTATTCTGCACTAGTAGAACACAACATCAACTCTTGGTCTTTCCTAGAAAAAAACAGATTTTGATTCTTCTAGATAAAAAATTATGTTCTGCTGAACAGGAGACAAGAAAGTGAATCTCTTAAAAACAGATAGATACTATTGCGTTCTGAAAGAAAGCAAGGATAAGAGCTGTGGAAATTGTTGACTGGGGAGAGGGAGATGTACCGGCACCAGGACAATTAGCTCATGAATTGTGCTATCTGTCTAGATCACAGAATAGGAATGTTCAAGACTAATCAATTCCACTGAAAATTATTCTGTCCCCCTAATCAATACATTGCAAAATACATTTTTCGGAGTGTAAGACACTCTGGAGTATAAGACGCACCTTAGTTTTTGGGGAGGAAAATAAGGAGGAAAAAATTCTGCCTCTGCCTACCAGCATCCATCAGTATTCATCTGGCTAGCGTCCTATCAGTTTGTGAGAGAGTTGAGGGCTGTTTGGAAACTGATACAGTATTTGTTGTGTGAGCAAGGAGACAGCAGGGAGCCTGGGCGTGGCTTAGCTCAACTGTTCTGTACTAAAGCTGCATGCTGCTCTGAAACTAAAACTGAAACTCCTCTCCTCTGCTTATGTTTTGCTTGTATTTTACTACCGTTGGAAAACCTGCTTTTGGTATTGTATATTTACTTCATGTGTTATATTATATATAAAGAGAAGTTATTGAATCCTGCTGAATCAGTTACTTGTGTGTGCTTTCTGGATGTGATTTCTGCTGCAAACTCTGACACGTCCTTGCAGCAAATAGTGAACAGCCAGGTCAGCCTCAGAACATTATTGCAGCCTGATTCAGCAGGAGCTGATTGGCGGGTGGATCAGCCTCCTGGAATACCCCCAATCAGCTGCTCCAGGCTGCAGGGATGGCCACAGACCATCGCTGCCTCTGTGCCTTGTGTTTTTGGCCTTATGGGTGGAGTTGCATTTGGTGTATAGGACGCACTCAAATTTTCACCCTCTTTTAGGGGAGGGGAAGTGTTCTTATACTCTGAAAAATATGATATCTGACACAACCATATCCCCATAACTGTGAAGACAGAGAACCTGGAGGCTTCCAATTTATGCAAGATGAAAAACTAGTTGTGCAAAAAGTGTTGATAGGATATTTGTTTTCTGAGATTTAAGATTTGAAGTTCTGTCCTACCTCTCTCAGACTGGAGTCAATTGATGAACAATTTAAAGTAGAAAATTTATCGGGCAAAGGAATGGTACCGAATATGGGGAAATTCCATTTCATAAAATTCGTACTTAATAGCTTAAGTGGAAAGTAGCTATCTGTCCAGGTAATGTGGAGATACAATAGAAAAACAAACACCAAGGTGCAAGTTAGGATATAAGTGGAGGGGTCAGTATCCATTATGTCTTTCGGGGGGGGGGGGGAGTATATGTGTGTTTTCCTTCAAGGCAGATGGAAAGCAAGGTAAGACCCAATTCCCAGCCAGCAGCAGGGCTGGATCTAATGAATTTGGACTGCATATTAGAGTCAGTAACGCTAGGGGACTGGAGGCTAAAACATAAGAAGAACGGTATGTCTAGTTTAATGAAAAGGAGGGACTAGGGGATGACATGATAGCAGTGTTCCAATATCTAAGGGGCTACCACAAAGAAGAGAGGGTCTCCATAGCACCTGAAAGCAGAGGCAGCAATGGATGGAAACTAATCAAGGAGAGAACCAATTTAGAAATCAAAACGTTCCTGACAGAACAATTAATCAGTGGAACGGTGTGCATTCAGAAATTATGGGTGCTCTATCATTGGAGATTTTAAAGAAGAGATTGAACAACCACTTGTTTGAAACGGTATAGGATCTCCTGCTGGAGCAGAAGATTGGACTAGAAAACCTCTAAGGTCCCCTCCAACTCTGTTACTCTTGAAATCTCGGCTGTGTGCACATGTTCTGATGTCTGTGAGATTATTGGGCTAAAGAAGCAGCAGGGCCCTGAGCTCATGTTGGTTGAAATTAAGCATCTTTAAAAAGCAACTCTTCTTTTTTGATTTTTTTCTTTTTCTATCTTTGTTTAAGTTTTAGACTTTATTTTATGTAATGCATACAACATTTAAAATTCTTAATAAACTAGTAGTGCTCCTTCCAAGAAAAGATTCTAGCCAAAGGAATTTTCAGAGACCCAAGCTAGTCCAATCCATGTACGTTCAAACACCCATTATAGGAATAATTTGAAAGTATCTAAGTATGAAGGAAATAGAGGTCTATCTGTGGCTAAAGTTCAGCAAAAAGGCAGTGTTTGTAGTCCAAGTCAAGGTTCACAGCAAACCTCACAATAAGACAGAGCAGCATGTAAGTAAACTTAAGTTCATATGGAATTCTAATTCCAATACCAGATTATACTCAGATGGGAATTTCATTGGAAATTGCCAGCTTCCACTTCAGCATAGCTGATACTGAACAACCCCAATTCCCTGAATAGACTTCCCTGCGCCCAGTGCTTCTCTGTAAACTGAGAACTCCTGTTTTCTAACTTTTCACACAGAGCTAGTAGTGTTTTCATAGTTGGGTAGATGAACCTTCAATTTAAGGACTGAATTATACACACCAGAAGGACTGCTTCCTAGCACCATCTCACCTCTGTTGCAACACTTTGGGCTTCTATATCTGATTGCCTGATTATTTTGTTTAGGTTCTTATCCTCATCTGGAGTTAGATGAGCATAAGGAGTTTAGAAAGAAGCAGGACAGTTATCTGGGTGATGGCCTGCTGGAATGAAGTGAAGTATACTGGATATAAATTGATCAAAATATTATTGAAACACAGTGAATTGGATTAGGAGACCTTTAAAATGAATCTTGAATAGGCTAGAGTTGTAAACCTTGGAAGTAAAAACCTTGAATGTCATACAGAAACACAATAGCTATTTCTTTATCATTCCAAAGTAATAAATTTAGATTATAGGAAGGAATTTTGAATGAGTATTAAGAAAAATTTCTAAGCACTATAAGGGGCAACAGTGCAATCATTTATTATGAGAGGGACAGAAGTCCTCTTCATGCATTTATTGTTGTGCTGGACTATCTATTGTGAAAACTTTAATTTGGATTCTTGCCCAGAATAGGGTATGTGATCCAATGACCTAAATATTTTTTAATTTTATGATTTTACATCTGCTATATAGTAACATTTCCACATTATAAAAAAGTATTTATGCTTCATTTGGGCACAGAATGCAATCAGCTTTGATTAAATTACATGATCCCTTTTACATTAACTTGTACAGCATTCTTCAAGCTACATTATGGAATGGAATTCATATGTAGGCATGTGATAAATTTGACATTAATACTATTTCAATTATACTATAAACTTTGTACTCATTTTTTGTAAATAATTTCATATAGTGATATACATGGTGGCAACTATAAAACGTGTCTCAGAGTTGGCTAAGCTCAAGTCATGCTGACATGTTGACTTCCAATAAATCCTTTGAAGTTTTGGGAGTTTGGCTCGAGACTAATGATTTAATTGGGGTAACTGCCAGAATCCTGACACATGGACTCAGCTTCATAACCTTAACTGGAATATTCTTATAACATGCCAGACCTCAGCAGCACACACCTTCATCAATTGGAACCATGCATTCCAATTACTGTCTTATTTTTGCCTTCTGTTGTTAAAGCCTCCAACAAGTAGACAGACAAGCAAATTTTTTGTCCTTTTAGTCAGATGCATAATCTAGCACATTTTATTTTTTGCAGTGATTTTCATACCCAATTTGGAAGATTCTAGGTGCTTATGTTCTGACCATGGGGGGGGGGGAGGGTAAACTGTTCCACAATCAAGGGACTATACGGAGAAAGCACATTTCCAGACACTGACATTTTTGTGATGGACTTTACTGAGGCTGGAGAATGTCCATACTAATGAAAGTGTTGGAAATGGGCTAAATGAGTTCTGCTTTTGCTACTCAGCTAGGTGTAGGTCAACTCTTTGATCTTTCAAGGAGTGGATACTTGCAGCATTGTGTCCTGAACAGATTGTGTATGATGGGAAAATTCTGCCTGGAGAAGATAGGTTCAAGGACACATGGTCTTTAATATCAGTGCTTTGTTCTTGGCCATCTAAACACTTTATAGTGACAAATTACATACTCCATAAAATTATTTAAATGCTACAAAATATGCAACCTTATCAATTCTTGATCATTTACAGTAATGAATGTCAAGCTACAATTAGTTGAATCACAGTTCTTAACCAATACAATTGTTGCAGTTTGCACAAAATACTATAAAACAATTACATTGACTGGATTTATATAATATTTGACCACAAAGTAGTCAACATTTTTTCGCTTCGGGAACCCCTCCAGAATACTATGTTCAATGGACTACATTAGACTATAATAGATGGAATTCTTAATGCTGTAAGATAAACACTGTGGGACATGTGTGTTTGCATATAAAAATATCCCTTGAACAATTGTTTGTCTAATATTTTTGAAGAGCCTTTTCTGCAATGGTTCCTGCCACTGGAGGGGAGATCTGCCCCCACTCTTCTGGCCTTATATAAGGGCCTTAAAACCTGGTTTTGCTAGCTGGCTTGAGGCCCTGATGGGCATGCTCTTTGCTGGAGGTGGCTGACAGGATAACAGAGAAGACCCTCTGCTGTTAGTCCCACTACATTTTAGTTCTTATTTAAGTAACAATAGAAGGGAATATTTGTAGCTCATGATTTAACTGTGGGGTCCTTGATGCTCTCTGAGCTTGATGGTTTTTTACAGACACTTAATTATCCAACATTGCACTGATGTTATCCATTTGGGTAATGAAACATCTGCAAGAAAGCAACCAAGCTCAGAACACCATGGATTCCCACAATCTTATTTAAGTCTTAATTTCAACTCTTTTTGTTTATATTTTTATCATTTTGTAAGCTGTCCAGAATTGTATTATTGATGAGATGGGTGGCATATAAATGTAATACATAAAATATTTGAAAAATGCAGAGAAGTGGAATACAAAGCATGCAGCAGATGCATGAGCAATAATCTTTCTAAAAAAGTTTCCCTTTAACAACAAAACAGGTTCAACATGCTATTAATTTACAGAAGAGAGGGGAATGGGACTTTGGTCCTTTGCTGATAGATCATCATCTACTTTCATATTAGGAAGTCATGAGAAAATGGTAACCTGAGAAAGCAAAGCCGCTTTTTTTCCCATATGTCTTTTATGTTGGACTTTTGAGATTATGACTAAAGGCAAGTACTTTCTCTTTTAATTAATCTAGAAAATAGTCTGGTTAGGAAAAAGTTTAGTAAAGTTCCTGCCTCTATTACATGTGGATGGTTCAGTAGGAAAATAATTTAATTATTACTATTATTAATATGCAACTCAATTTCCAAAAGGCTCTGGGCAGCTTTTCGGAGCTGAAAACATTTTAACTCTTTTAAAACTGCTCCTTAGCCCCGGAAAACTATAAAAGACCTACGTGATATACGGTAGGAACAGATTACTATATTTGAGGGACCTTCTTCTCCCAAAAAGATTTGCCCACCCCACATACTTTCACAGGCAGGGCACACTACATATTCTTTTTTTAAAGTCTTGACATCTTATGGGACGTAGAAAGCATATATTTTCCAGGGTTGTCCCTGCTCACTGGAATGATGATCCTATCCCCAGTATATGACAGGTTCCAGCCCCAACATTTCTTGTCTTTGGGAAAGCACTTGAGACCCCTGACTCTTCTCTGGGTTAGGGGTTGGTTGAATGGCAGTCCCCTTCTGAGGTTTGTTTTGCCTTGTACTTGATTGCCATTTTATATTTAGCTTTTGTATGTATATATTGGCTATTTGTTGTTAATTACTCTTTATGCTGTACACTGCTCAATTTGGCAACCTTATATATCTTGAAATAAAATTATAATGTAAATATTTGGTGTGTCATAAACTAATATAACTTTGAGTTAAAGTTGCTATAAAGTGCTTAAGAGAATTCATTTCAGAATTCAATGACTATATCAAATAGATCATACTTGTATCTTCAAGGAAATTTTATCATGAATATTGGATGACAGAATTGTGAATTTTTGTGAATTCTTTAAAATTGTATTAGCAGGTGCGTACATTTAATGCAATGGAAAGAACTTGTAAATATGTATAAATATTGCTCTGAACTTAAGAGAAAAGGCACCACTACTGTATTATTCATTCTGAATTATCTGCTCCGAACTTACAAAAAGGCAAACAAAAGTATTAATAAAAATATGGAAAACAACATGACTAGATAAGGCATTGTGAAGTTCTTGGAATACACACTGCAGTTCTTTCCACCCATTCTTTACAACTGCAGTCAAACTAAGCAGGTAGAAAGAGCAACTCCTATGATAAAGCTCTTATGGGCTGAAGCTGTTTTGCAGATTATCTTTATTTTATCCTTCAACCAACAACCTGTGAAATAAGACTTAAAGTAACTTGGAGAACTCCAACACTGGACTTCAACCAGTTTCCTTGATCCCAGTCTAATACATAATTCTTGTGTAAAGCCAGTTACACATTTCTAAGGGCCATCTATAGTAAAATACTACAACCTAATGAACTTTTTAGCTTTTACTTGAGGTTATTGAGCTCTTATAACAAAGGCATTACCTTGGATTTTTCTAATAAATCAGCAGTGCTTCCTCACTGTTACAGAATACTAAACTATATCTGAGAGCTTATCTACATTTTAAGAATATTTGAAGGAAACATGTAGACAATTTATTATTTATGAAAGTTATTAGCAAATAATTGTGCTAGTTAGATTGTACCAGTGCAATTCACAAGCCAGAGTTTCTAAAAATACACAGTTTCCTAAACTATTTGCTACATTTTTAAAATAGGCAATTTCAGAGTTGCAACATTTTCTCCCTAGGATGACTTTCAGAAAATTTGTTAAGATTTCCTTTAAACTATGCTCAACATCAAATGACTTTATGGATACATTAATGTAATTTTCTTGGCAACTATACAGAACTCTTTGCCATTGCCTTTTCTGTCCCCCCCCCCCAAACTTCTAATCCAAGTGATCTCTAGCTAAGTAGCAACCATGCCCATCCCTTTTAATTTCAAAGCAAGGATTCATAATACAGATTAGAAAGAGCAGAGAGACTGAAATCTGAAAGAACTACGTCTTCCATCTTCCAGCCAGCCTATTTGATGACACTATTTGACGCTTTGCCCAAAGGTCACGGACCTCTTGTCGGATATTGCCACAATCTGTTATACTGTTATTGCATACACACATGGTTTTTCTTCCCCTTATTAAAACAAAAATAGAAAGAAATCTTGTGATTTTTTTGTTTCAGGGGATGACAGTGAAGTTACCTATTTCTTCATGTATATACCAAAAAACAAAGATTGTCACCAAAATATTTACTCATATTTACTCATCCAATGGTTACAAGTGAGGTCTGCAACAATACTCTCTACCAGGCAGTTGCGAAGAGATGGATGAATAAGGAGGATTCTTCCTTTTACCACAAGAAAAACCAAAACCAAAAAGAGACCCACGCATGTAAGTTATTTTAGCAAGTCTTTCAAGCAAACAATCCCGTAGCTATCAAAGAAGTTCCCCAGGGACAAGTGACATTTCAGCGAATGCATCGTTTCGGAGACAAGCAGCCCCTCCTCGGATAAAGATCCTCAGCGCCCTTTTTTTCCCCCCGACTGCGGCGACGAAGCGCTTCCTATGTACTCGCACTACGCCTATTTTACACACAGCCCAGCTCCGGAGGTGGGCGGCGGAGGAAACGTGCGGGGACCTCCCGTTGACTAGCAAGCCAGTCCGACAGCAGGCCGGCGCCACCACCGCTACCCCCGGGCGGTGGGCACCCGCGAGGTGACTCAACGTCAGGCTCTCTTCATTGCCTGCCAGCAGCCAGCGCTTCTTTCGCGGAAGACCGAGCGTGACGGTGCCACCCTTCCGTCCTGCCCCCCCCCAAATGCCTTCCCGAAACCCCCCAACTACTGAGGGCCCCCCCGAGAGAAACTGCCAACCCCCCCAGCAGCTCAGGTAAGGAAAAGTGGCGCTCCCTAAGGCAGAGGCGGTCGTCCAGGCTGAGCCCGAGGAGCCATAGCGGCGGAGAAAGGAAACGAAGGGGCTTTAAATATGTATGTATGTATGTATGTATGTATGTATGTATGTATGTATGTATGTATGTATGTATGTATATTATTATTTATTATTATTATTTATTATTATTAATTATTATTATTCATTATTATTATTATTCATTATTATTATTACCTTGCTGAGGATTTCACAGAGCTCAACAGGCGTCCCCGACTCTGTCTCGGGATCTTCTTCTGAGCCGGAGGAATGCCAGCTTTGGTTGTCCGACATGGAGGCACTTCCCTCTCTGCTCTTTCGCCGAAACGCCGAGACCACCGGAGCTCGCTCTCTACCTGGTTTAAGACGCTTCGCTGCTCCGGAGCCGCTACTGTTGCTACGTCGTCCCAGCCTAAGCCACCTTCAGAGCCTTTCCGTCGGTCTGTCCCCTTCTGGCCACCGCCGGCACAGCAGCTCGCCGAGCTCCCCCACACCCTTCCGCGCACGCCGGTAGCCCTGACCATTAGAAGCTGCCTTTCAGCGGACCCAAGCGCGCGTCTTCTTCGCCTTCTCCTCTCAGATCAACTTTGTGGCGGCGGCTGTTGTTACTAGTACTACTACCTTCGCCGCCATCTTTCTCGCCACCCTCTTTTTTTTTTTGCCAAGCCTTCTCACCAGACGGAGTAAGTCTTTAGAACGAGGGCATGCTGGGAGTTGTAGTCGACTGAAGGGGTTTGTCGGCGCACCGCCTCCTCGGAAAGCGGGCGGGGCGGCGGGCTTTAATCGTTCCTCCCCTTAAATTATCTGGGTTTCCTGGTTGTTGCATTGGGTTTGCTTCCGCAAAATACTGGTGTCGCTTCTTTTCTCTCTCTCTCTCTCTCTTTTTTGAAAACACAATTGGTCGCCATCTTGGTGCGACTTAATTATTGCGGAAACGGGGGCTGGTGAAGCTTCTTGGGACTGAGGTGTGTTGGGGAGCTTATGGCTGCGTTGTATGTTATTAGGAAGGAACTGGTTTTGTGGGAGATTTTTTTTTTTTAACCTTTGCATGGGTTTTAGATTTCCCCTTCTACGCCATCCTTATAAAGGGAATGATTTATATCCTTGCACCATTCTTACATATACACAAAGCGAAGAAAAGACAACGAGGGCTTTTTTTTTTCGTAACTGAAACTGCTACTTGATAAATTACTAGGTGGATGCATGTAGATCTCCTGGAAATATATGAAATGGGCAGGAAAAAAGCTACATGTGTTGCTAGGTCCAAACAGAGGGAGTCGAAATTGCAAAGTAATGCGAATTTACTCAAGAGGAGAAGTTCGTTTGAATTTAACAGGGCTTATAAAACATCTGAAATCTATAAAAGAATGTTACTGCGAGTCACAGAAGCTGATTTAGGGTTAATCTGTTGATCCTGTGGTTACTTTTTTGTGCATGGATAAGGCAGGGTTGAACATACTTCAGATTATAGAATTTGTTTATCATAAAATGGAATCTTGGAGAAACACTATGTTTAGAATTGAAACCTAGTTCTTTCACCCCAAGTCTGTCTTTATTACCATAAACATTATTTTGATAAAATAAATTTGGTTCCTGTTATTAAACAGAAATCAAAAATCCTTTTGATCTATAGTTTAAGATTCTATTAGTAACTTTGGTGCAGAGCACAGATGGTTAATGGAGAGTAACGATATATAATGCCTCTTGTTGCAGTAGCTGTCTTTTCACAAATACTTTGTCATCAGTGTGTTACGGATAAAGCACAAGGCTTATGTGACTGGTACTGCCAGGCACAACATCCAAAACTTACTGCAATGAAATTGTAACCCCTGTGAAATATGTGAAAATCTAAGCTTTTTTTCTCCAAATCTTGTTGGGCTTGTTAGAGCCAAATAAAAGTACTCTGAAGACCTCCAATTCTCAGCAGTTTTCAGCTGTGGCCTGTATTTAATCAACGTGTATGCCTCCTCAAACAGGCAATTCTAGGCAGTTTATATTAAGAACCATAAGATAAAAAATAAGCAAACTAAGACCAACAATACATTGATCATGATAATAAAAGTGATCTATTACCAATAACACAACTCACGCCTCAGGCCTGTTGAAAGAATTTTAAGATTTGCAAAAGCGTGCATAAAAGCGTGCATAAAAGGGGGCGTGCATAAAAGGGGGCGTGCATAAGCGCACCAACGTGCCTACCGTCCCTGTCCTATTGTTTCTCTTATTCTTTTATTTTCTTATATGTACCCATTTCATGTATTCACAACTATGTATACATTTATACTTATTATCTTGTAAACAATTGGCAAATAAATAAATAAATAAACAAACAAACAAACAAACAAACAAACAAACAATACAGTTGAGGCTATATAGCTCTAACCACAGAGCCTGTGAAAAAAATTTCAGAGAGATACTTTCCAGAATTCATTGGAGGTTTTAAGTACAGATAGTCCTCAACTTACAACAGTTCATTTAGTGACTGTTCAAAGTTACAATGCCAGTGAAAAAAGTGATTTATAACATTTTTCACATCATTGCAAGGATCCCCATGGTCACATGATCAAAATTCAGATCCTTGGCAACTGGTTCATATTTATGATGGTTGCGGTATCCTGGTGCCATGTGATCCCATTTTGTGATCTGACAAGCAAAATCAATGGGGAAGCTAGATTCACTTAACAATTACAGTGATTCACTTATTAAGAAAGGTAGAATGATACAAAACTCAGTTTAACAACTGTCTTGCTTAGCAACAGAAAATATGGGCTCAATTGTCATAAGTTGACTATTTGTAAATCATCTTGAAGTGTTGATGCAACATTATTTAAAGGATTCATTGGCTGATTCAAAAAAAATTGCATGTATATGTAGCAGCTAATCCTAATGGAAGTAGATGCATGTGGTTGCTTTAAGATGTCAGGAAGGGTGGTTCAATCAACTAGTGTGCTTTGTGAAATAGATCCTTTAAATCAGGGGTGTCCAACCTTTCACCTTCCCTGGGCCACATTAGAAGATGAAAATTTGGCTGGAAAATTAATAAAAAAAATTAAATAATTAATTAAATTAAATTAAATTAATAAAATAAAATAAAATTATTTATTATTAATTATTTATTAAAAATTATTTATTTTTTATTTTATAATTTTCTGGCCAAATTTTGCAGGGTGGGGGGGGAGGGGGGGAAGAAAGCTCGCCCGCCTCGCGCCTACCTCTCCTCCTGCAAATTATTTATTTTTTATTAATTTTCCAGCCAAATTTTGCGGGGTGGGGGGGAGGGGGGAAAGAAAGCTCGCCCGCCTCACGCCTACCTCTCCTCCTGCAAATGCAGCAGCGGCGGTGGCGGGGGCAGAAGCAGCGGCGGCGGGGGCAGAAGCAGCAGCGGCGACGGGGCAGAAGCAGCGGCGGCGGGGGGGCAGAAGCAGCAGTGGCGACGGGGGCAGAAGCAGCAGCGGTGGCGGCGGCAACAGCAGGAGGTGGCGGGGCGGTACTTTTGGGCTGCGGCTGCCCGCCTTTTCTGTTGCTTGCCTCGCCCCGCCCCGCGCCTGCCTCTCCTCCTCCTCCTCGCTGGATCTTTCATGAAGGTTGGGGTGGGCGTTGGGCCGCATTACGAGGCGACCTGGGCCGCATGCGGACAAGCCTGCTTTAAATGCTTCCCACAGCCATACCATATCATGTCATATATGAGTAGTTTTAGCAAACTGCTGGGCTGTGGACTGGTACTGGTCTGCGGCTTGCCAGGAACTGAGCCGTGCAAGTGAATGAAGCCCCATCTGTGCATGCACAGGATCTAGGCAGCACCATATAGTAGGAACTATATCAGCTCTTGATCTCATTCCAGCAAAGTAGTACTTATTTATATGTTAAAAAAAAAGAAAATAAAAAAATATCTTATCTTGTTTTAGGAATAAGAACTAATGTGATGTGGTTTGACTACAGATTTTGAGGAAGTAAATATCAATTATATTTTTTGTGCTTTTGCAATTATCTTCAATCACTTTTATCCCTTGCAACAGCCTATCCTTTTCCATCTCTTTTTCTTCCTTATTGATCTCGGTTTTGTCCGTGCTTCAGCAGTTGCCTAAAATATCAATTCTATGCCTGGCTGCATTTGATAAACCCCTTAAAGGTATTGGCAAGTTGGTTTGAAAGTGTTCATTCCTGCCTTTAGGGAATTGGTGAGGTAGGTAGAAAACAAGTTGGCTGAGTTAAATTAAGTTTCAGGAGATGGTGCAGTTTCTCTGAAAACTGCAATCCATCATGGAACAATGCTCCAATAGCTTTGGCTACAAAGAAAAAAAAAATTCCAACTGCAGCAATATTGTTTATGTTAGAGTTTCAAAGTCAATAGCATTAGTTTCAGTTAACACGCTTAAAAGATTATGTAGGACAAAATCTGCATACTTTTAAAGATTTATGTGTTTATTATATTTGAAATGTTCTTATCTACTGTATAACTGCAAATAAACATTACTGAAGACTTAATACAATTAGCCAGCAGCCTCCAGTGCCATTGATCGTGATATTTTTCTGGGCCATTTCAGGAATTGAGAGTAGAAAATATAGCACTAGACTGATTTTCCTCCTTTCCCTGGAGGTGGTTCTGCCTTAGGACTCTCCCCTGTCCTCGCTCTTATTTAACATCTACATGAAGCTGATAAAATAATAGATGAAATAATCAGATGACATGGCTGCAATATCACATCATTGATTATAGTTGGTCATATTCCCCTAGGCCAAAAAAAGTGATGCCATTAGGACCTTTCCCAGTGCCCAGAGACTATGGGGGTTTGGATAAGAGAGAATAGGCTTTAGTTCAATCATGGCAAGACTAGTTAGTGGCTGGGGGTTTTAAGGCCTCGTGGCTCTGAAGATTTTGATGGTCACTGAGAATAATAAAGGTTTTGTTTTGATTTGGAGATTTTTCTATCAGTAACTCTTGCCTCGATTTACAACCACAATTGAGCCCAATGTTTATGTTGTTAAGTGAGTTTTGCCCCATTTTACGACTTTCTTGGCTCAGTTGTTAGGTGAATCACTGTACCTAGTAACCCAGTTATTAAGTGAACCTGGCTTTCCCATTGACTTTGCTTGTCAGAAGGTCATAAAAGGGGATCACATGACCTTGTGACACAGCAATGGTCATAAATATGAACCAATTGCCAAACATCTGAATTTCGATCACATGATCACGGGGCTGCTGCAAAGTTTGAACTGTGAAAAACGGTCATAAGTCGCTTTTTTCAGTGATGTCGTAATTTTGAATGGCCACTAAAGGAACTGTTATAAGTCGAGGACTACCTGTATGCACTTTTACGATCAGTGTTGGTGTGCAATTTGGGGCTCTCCCTGGACTCACAATTGTTCAAAA